ATTCAAACACAATGAGCAACATGTTTCAACGATAACCAACTACGAAAAGCCTTAATAAGGAAAATTGTATAATTCACCTCGACCCTTGGCGGACAGAAAAAAAAAGATGGCGGCGATTCGAAATTTATGTCTGATCCGATTTCAATAATTCACTGTTCGATTCGAAATACCCATCCCTAATACCATGGCTACTCAACTGTTTTACCGAAGATCCGCATACAAAACTTCAAAACTATTATGGGTCCGGTCTTTCCAGAAATTATATTTCGGAACCCTTAAACGCTAACTTCTTCGGCCGGATAATGATTGTTAGCAAATCAAGATTTTTTATTATGGTGTTATAGTTATTTTCATTTGAATTCAAAACTATAAAAGTCATTTTATAAAAAGAAACTTAAAAAGTGGGGCAATTGATCAAAAATAAAGAATTAAGTACGATCCGAATCCGACATTCGAAATTTCCGTATTCGGACCACGGTCTGACAATACATAGCCCTGCTATGTACTATCATATGAAAACTAGACGAACTATCAAATGTTCTCTCTTCAGGAGAATAAAAACAGATCGTATCCACCACTTCTGTGTTATTTTTTAAGTCTCTATATTCTCTGCCACATAAGAAAAAATCCATATCCATTGCCGTATTTAGTAAACAGTACTGATCATTATCAGAAGTACCATTCAAACCTATGTCACGCAATTAACACAGGTTACAAGATCCGGTGGTGAGATTGTGACGCAAGTATGAGGTAACAATAGCGTTGATAGTAAACATTGTAAAAGAATTTTTGTCAAAAACAATTACACGTTCGTCGCAATAAAGCCAACTAATTTGGATTTGTGTTTTTCAATCTAATTTATTAAAAAGGTCTTATCTGACATTATCGTCACGTCGTGTCATTTTAGTTTCCTGTTTACACAATGAATGCTTCCGCATGCTGTGACCTTCGAATAACCTATGTGTCAAGAATGTCTGTCCTACCACAGGATTGTTGTTTACCCGACTGTGGTTTGTAGCTTTTTAAAATAGCATGAGATATAAAAAAAAAGGCTAGGGGTAAGCTACAAGTGTTGTAGCCCAACAGTTTTATAGCTCTGTAGCGCCACATTGACTTTACGTCTTCGTAGTTTGTAATCGAAGTACAGCAATAGTTAAATTTATTGGATAGTGTTCGAAAAAGTCGAGTTAACTTGTACTTGTGACGTTATTGTGCTCTGATAACATTCTATATCGGACGAGGCTAGAATCCAACAGTTTTATAGCTCCGTAGCGCCATACTGGTTTTGAGTTGTCGTAGTTAGTAAACGAAATCGAGTAATGCTAAAATTTATTGAAATACCATTCCAGAAAGTCAAGTTAACTTGTACTCAGATGTTTTTGTGCTCTGATGACATGTTATGTCGGACAAGGCTGTAACTTTTGTTATTTACATTCGAAACAGTAATAACGTAATAAACAGTAATTTGGTAAATTGATCAAACGCAATTATGTTATTGGTGTGTGTTATCATCTTATCAGATCAAAATTCAGTTGCTAATCTACAGAGATTCTAAACTCCAATTATATTTTTATCTATTGTTGTTCTCATTGCGCAAACGGTATTGATAAGTTAAAACAATCACGTAAAAATAATGGCTTCATCCCGAAACTAATTCATATAAATAACTCAGTTATTCTGCAAGATTTCATTGCGAATGCAGAACAATAGCAAGATCTACAAACGAAATCCTACCGACATCCTTTCCAAGATCATCCGAATGCTCAATTTTAAGATTTAAAGAAAAAAATGACACAAGAAGAGGAAATTTCCATCAGATGTAAGTTCGGGTTTCATGAAAGCCGCAGTTGTAAAGAAAGAAACCCAAAATGCAAAATTCTCGACTCTTCGAAGAATTACGAACAAATGGCAAAAATTAGTAAACGACAAAAAAGACGAAAACTACTCGTTTTACGATGACGCATTACTGAAACATACGACCGAAAGTTCGAGTAAAAAGAGAAAACTTCAGCTGATCAGCCTCCGGGAGAAATATTCAGAACCGATGTTCAGAATTTTCTGGCAACCTAAAAAAGATGGCGTGTGTTCCAGCTCTGAGTAAAAATGATGAACATTGATTATCATTTCCACCATCAATTGCTATGGCACACTGTTTTCGTTACGCTATAACTTAATCAAACAGCGTATGTTAAAACCACGCAATGATCTATGCCTAACTATATATGAAAAAATGCTAGTTGATAATCTTAAAAGATTTTTTTTTTAGATGAATCGAACAAAAGATTTCCAAGTAAAATTCATTCCCAAAAAAATACAAATGAGAGGATTGAATATTCCCATTCGACTGTGCGCTCTCATCCGTTTGCTGTCAATGTACCAAAGAACAAAAAAAACTTTCTCCAAAATCTCCAGTCTTATCAATTTATCACTTCGAGCTGGTTGCGAGTATTATCTCTCAGAGATCAATCAGAGTTTCAACAGTACTACCATTTCTCAAAAGTTTTATTTGTTAAAGCTACACTCTAGCCAAGTTCTATTTCCACTCGAATATTTCAGTAAATGCGGTCACGATAAGGTTTTAGCATGAAAGATACCAGCACACCGTTTCTAGTTCCAACGCTAAATTCATATTCCCAGTACCGGTACTGCCTTTCATTTTCTAATATGCAGGCCATAGGTTAGGTTTATCACAAGCATAACTAATTGACTTGTGATAAATTCTAGGCAAGAATATATAATAACTGAAGCAATTTCACTCACCTTCGAAATTATCTTCCTGTATGAAGAATACTTCTATACAACTCCATATTACACAGATGTCTTGGTCGCTAGTTCTTATCAACATTTTCTATTTAACTGAACCGCATGGAATAATTGATTTATGACGTCACACTCAATCCTATCTTTGTAGGTTACTGATGCCAGTAAAACGTCATTAGCAGTTCGTTCAGCAAAAACCGATTTCATCATAACAATGCAAAATTTAGGTTTTCAATAGAGTACGGTACGATGGTATCGAGCCGTGGCACTTTTACCAGTATCGATGCTCATCTGTGATTAAAATGTATCTTTGCATGGAAATATGAATTGGTTTCCGTGAACACCTAGAAATATCTACGGTGTTGCTTATTCTTCAATGCTGATGTTGGTGATCAGAGGCGTAGCCAGGTCAAGCTCATGAAAACCCAGAAACCCAGACTCACTAAGTGTTCGGGTCTAACTTTCCCTCTTGAAAATTCCTGGATACACCCAGAAATAGAAGGTAATTGAATTTATCATATTTATTCCAGCATTACATGAACGGTGTAAACAGCGACGCTATGGCAAGCGTATATTCTCGCTTCGGAGTCCTGCGCTGACGGCAGCAAAAAAATGATGTTAGGGTCATCGAAAAACGGTATATTCATGTCTAATTAAGGCCAGCTTATGGTTCTAGGAACAGAATCAATGCGGTTCTAGTTGAGCTGATGAAATTCAGTCGTTGTGTGTCCCATTAGGGCCCGTGAAATAGGGTCAAGGCGTGTCTAAGTAGGCTGGCGAAGTAGGTTCAGGGCGTGTATAATTAGGGCTGGCGGAATATGAGCGGGGCCTGTCTGATCAAAGGATCGAGAAATAAGTTCCATGTGTGTCTAATTGGGCTGGCGAAATAGGGCCAGAGCGTGTTCAGTTGGCCTTGCAAAATAGGGTCAGTGCGTGTCCAATTATGCTTTCATTTCTGGGAAATACTTCAAAGCTGAGCCCAGGTTCACCATACATTCTCTTCTGTTTTTAACACTACTGAACGTCCTCACTGCAACATTTTCCTCAAATATGTTCCAGCAGACGAATTTTCGGAGTCGTGAGAAAAGATCTAAATTTTGGAATAGGGAGAGTAAGCTTTCTAATGAATGGTCTGGAGCCACCTTTTCATCGACTCTACATCCTGACCCCGATATTTCTAATGCTAAGAATGACCTTCACTGTACACTGTCACATACCATACTAAGCTGTAATATTGGAACAAGAACAAATATCCCATTTATTTGAAAATAGAAATAAAGTTATTGTTTGAATTAGTACAATTATATATTTTGTTAGACGAGATGAAAGCATGATTTGATTTTTTCCACCAATATTATTTCGGTCTGACAATAACTTAGGGTTATTCTAAATTATGGGCCGGCTACCCCTTTTACACTAAAAACCGACCGAAAACTTTGAAATCTAACGTTGAAAAATGTTTTAAAGCCTTTAGACTAATGTTGCTCAAACAGCGGGGCGCGCCCCACAAGAAGGGCGTAGACATTTGGGGGTGGGGGTGCGTGAAGCTAATCAAAAATAAAAATATTTGTTAGACTTGATCCTTTTTTGGATATTTACATTTCTTTATTGTTTAGAGATTGCGATTTTCTTCACGTATTTTCAAAGTGGGGACCTCATGAAGTATGCACACCAAGATGGCGCACAACCTGAATTCAAAACTGAAGGTTGTGTACCAGGTTAGAGTTCAGGTTATGCGATATCTTGGCGCGCATACTTCAGGAGTACCCGAAGTGGTTTCTGAATTGAATATACCTTTACCTTACCATCACTTCAGTTACCTTCACCTTAGTTATTTTTTAGGTGGGTTGCGAGACTTGACAAATTCTAAAAAATGGGCGCGGCTTAAAAATTCAAGAGCCACTGCTTTAGAGCGAAAATATACGGTCTCGTTACCAATCTTTTATGGGTCGGTTGTCACCGGCCACTGTTTTAAATAAGAGAAACCGTCCCAGAAATAGAAATACTGCTGGAAAATTTAGTGGTTGAACACGTATCGCAAACACAAGTCATCCACAAATGGGCTGGGCATTTCGAATCGAATAGTAAATTTCGAATCGCCGCCTTCTTGTTTTTTTCTATTCCGCCGATTGTCGAGGTAAATTTATCAATTTTTTTTTATGAAAGTCATATTTTTTCAACGCAATTCTGACATATGACTCTTTTTTGTAGTGAATTATTGATGAAAACGTATTTTTTATTGTGTGTGAACGCTCAGCAATTTGTCTGAGTGCTGTATTTTACTTTTATAGTAATTTATGTGTCTGGAGGACAAATACAAGAAGAAAATTCATACAATTATTTATCTCCCAAGTATTCGAGATTCGATTCGAAAAAAATATTCGATTCGATTCTGAAATCATCAGGTATTCGAAAATGCCCAGCCCTAGCAACGTAGCAGTAGGTATGAACTACCACCAAAGTGCCCAACTTCGGACGAATTGAATTTATTTTCAATGATAACTCAACCATTTATTGTCCAAATAGCTCAATCACACATGCATATGTACTTTACTTGTTAGTTTGGAGTCCATCGGAACATTTTTACTATTGAAATAAACCATTTTCCCAATTGCGTCCCTAATTATCAATTACTACAAAATATAACAATATTACACCCATTTAATTACACTCAAATGCACGTTGGTACCCATATTAATTCGGTTACAAAAAGTTCATAATCGTTTAGCATTAACAGCTAGAGAGTAATGGACGCCAAATGAATAGCTAATATGGCCAATTAATGGTAATTCCAGCGTAAATTTAAAAATAAATGTATCGGATGTCATATGAATTGTGAAAAAATTATGCCAGATTTCATATGATGGTGTGCCCTTGAGTTATAAAAAAGTTAAAATTTGATTAAAAACACGATTCAAAGGTATGTTCAATTACCAAAACCTTCGCAATGGGAAGTCACATCAAACTGTTCCGGGTTCAAAGGTCGAGAAATATTGATAGCGGCATTCAGGGTCACTCTGACCTGGCAAATCAGAATACATTCGTGAAAAAAAACTTGGCACAGATTTCGAAATATTCTGCAGTTTTAATTAGTTATATGTAAATAAATATTGCGATTTTTTTTTTAAATATGTTTTCACAAGATTACGCACCAATTCGGTAAAAACAAATGAGATCTGGTCTCGATATTTCATGAATCAAAAATTACGGATTATTTAGAGCAAGTTTTAATTTGACTATATTTAAATATGGCGACTATACAATGCATTCTATCTCGATAGAAACAAATAAAATAATAACAATACAAATAAAATGAAACTTTATTATGAGGAAATTTCTGGACCACTGTCGACGATTTGAACCTAAAAACAAAAGGAGTTATTAAAGCTCTACTAGACACAAACGTTCGGTGCAACATTCCAATTTACAAATTTTCAGTTGTTGGCTATTGTAAAATCGATTAAAAAAATGGCTCTTCTGCGTCATCTCGCGGATTAGAACCCAAGTGCAACCTAGGAGAGCCAGATACAAATAACTGGGTGAAACCGCGGGCCGCACCGTCATTTAACATAGTCCTTCTAATAGTGGCAGGCACAAAAATTTTGTTATTGATCTTATGACATGCGTTGTTCGCATCCCAAGCTGGCTCTTGGGGCATTGTAACGTCATGGGCATAGATAAAAAAAAATTAACTCAGGTATAAGCTTGGAAATACTCACGCGTACCAGATTAAACTAAATTGAAAACCCGTTTTGCGGGCCGCGCAAGTTTCTTCGCGGGCTGCATTTAGCCTGCGGGCCGCTGGTCGCACACTCCTGTTTTAGGACATAATGAATAACGAGTAAAAAAACTTTTGAAAGTGACCAATACAAAATGGACTTGGTAAAGCGAGCGACCGTATTGTTGTTGTCGGAAATATCTCCATTCCTCGCAACCGATAAACTGATCGATTTCAAATTCTCTGCCCTTACAGTATATGGAAGAAGTAGCTATACGACAATTACGTCATTTTTTTCAAATTTTTTCCTTTTTTAACGATCATTGTCCTAGAGGACCCGATATTTTATTCAGAATTCTGCTGTTATATTAAATACAGGCCAAGGCTTTTTCGTGACATCTGTTATTTGTATGATTTGTGCTGTTCTCTTATTGAATCGCCCCACTAAATCCTGATCATAGTAACCAGATCAAAATAATGGCGGTGGACTACAAAAGGCTTATTCCATATCTAGGATTCTGTTCAATTTGTTTTTTGTTGTGGGGTTTAGAAAGGGGAACAGTAAGAGCGGTATGGGGCAATTGTTTTCAACTAGGAAGTCAAGAAGGGGTAAACTAAAAGTTAAAACTGGCAGTTTAATACATAGTATCTTAGTATCATATGGTTAAAAACTCGTTTATACTTGCTAATGAGTTTAGCAAACTAAAGAGCACAAGTGTTACTACCGATGGCCGTTGCTTCATAACAAAAAATAAATAAACTAAAATTCCTTAGAGGCACGGAAATTTATTCTCATAAATTGTGAGGGCGAGGACAAGGCCATTATCTCAAATTTCCACCCTATTACAAGACGACATTCTTTACCGCATCAAGACGTTATCTTTATACCTATTTAAAAGATATCAACCCTTTATATCGAGGCAATTTCCTCGTAATGAATAAAAAGATGGCGTAAAGAAGTGCCTGCTCTTGTTGAAACTTGACACCTGCGCATCCAAAAATTTCGCTGTTTCATTTTAGTTTACTGGAACATTTTTTGTGACATTCGGGAACACTTCCATATGGCATTTTGCCGTTTTGTCCGTATATACTAACATTTTTTTTCTTGTTTGTAAATAAATTATTAAGCATAAAGTTTCCCTAGCATGAAAAATTCAATGGGCCACAGGATTTTTGAGCAACAAAAATGGGCCACGAAACAGAAGGGTGAGGAACCACTGGGTTAGTATTTTCATGTTATTGCCCAACCGTCAATTCACGTTCCGTTTTTTTTAACTGTTTATATTAGCTCATAATAAGTTTGAAACGTGTGGAAATAACCTTACCTAATTTTTTCAAGCCCAAAAAAAGCAAAAAACAAGGTGGTAATCTCAAATTTCCACCTTATTACAAGACGACATTCTTTACCCCATCAAGACGTTATCTTTATACCTATTTAAAAGATATCAACCCTTTATATCGAGGCAATTTCCTAATAATAAATGAAAAGGTAGCGTCAAGCAGTGCCGGCTCTTATTAAAACTTGACACCCGCGCTCTGACCCCGGGCGCGCGAGGTACAGCGATAGCACAGTTCAAAGGGCTATTATGTTATTATATTGCTCTCTAAATATTCAAATTACTTTCCCAGATAGAAATACTACACGTGCACCCATAGATAGCGCGACCCGTGGATGTCCCCAACTCGTGTATTATTTTTAAATAAGTTCAAAATTATAATTTCTTAGGGGGTAAATAATATTTTAAAATTAAGGTGGGAAGACAAAATTTCTTGCGGGACAAAATGAAATCAAAATGTTACAGTATTGTTTATTATTTAGTTTCAGTTGTTATGTCATTCCGGTGACGTCATCTTTAAAGCATTTGAAAATATAGCAAAATGAATAGGCTTTTTGGGAATCCAGCATTGGCGCACCATTTAAAATCACCAAAATAAATTCAAAATGTTTCAGAAATGTACATTATTTAGTATCAATTGTTATGTCATTTTAAGTAACGTCAGTTTTATTGTATTTCAAAAATAAATGAGCATTTTTTGGTGCGTTGCACCATTATGGAGTTGTAATTTAGTAACAGTGCTTTAGATTTCAGACTGAACTAGAGAATATTGCAGGCTATGAGACTTGCTTTTTTATCTAAATTTTGCTGTTTTGTTTCAACTCACTTGAAAAAAAACTTCTTGTGACATTTTATAGCATTTTTACGCGGGAAAGGCGAAATAATATCCCGTTGATCCCCAAGTGACGGTTATAGTTTCTTGATGGCTTCCAACTAACGAATTATACGAAAAACGTTTTAAAGTTTTCCGGAAAAAAATTGAGAAAACGCCCACCCTAATTCAGTCTAACAATGAATATACTGAAATATTCGACAGCAATTTTCTAATTTATACATTAAATAAACCGTTTTCATAATATTTTCAGTGACTAAAATTAGTTAACGCACGTCAATTCAGAAAAACAATAGTTTACTGAGAGACGCCTCAGCAGGTTTCTGACTATTTAATCTATGACCTACATTCATTATTTTCACCATAAAAAGAATAATCTGTGATTCAAACTTTTTTTTTCATATATTGAAAAACAACCAAATTATGGGTGAAACATCGCGCCACGTAAGACACAGAAAAAATATTAAAGAATGTCGAAAGATTTATGTTTACCAAAAAATTACGGTTAGAAAAGCACCCAGTTTTCTATTTTTCAAGATAAAAAATAATTCGTGATCCAGTCAGCAAATGTTAAATTGTTTCCACACATTAAAAACAGCCAGATTTTTAGGAAATATCGCGCCACGCAGGTCGCCAAAATTCAAATAAAAGTCGAATGATTCATGTTACCAAAGAATTACAGTTTGCAAAGCATCCTGATTTTTTCGATGTTGCCCGTTTCAACGAAAATACTTTGACAGCTCACAAGCGAGGTAAAAGTAAAAGGAGATCAAATGAAATACACCAGAATTACCGAGCTTCAAAGCTGTTGATTTGGCCTATTTCTCAGCGTTAACGTAGTTTAAGTGTGATAAATTTAAATATTCTACATTGAGTCCATGTATTTAAAACTTGGCTAACGAATCCCATATCCGACATGGAGTGGTAACCAGACAAAGGGCCGCGGTTCGCCATGTAATAAAGCCGTCTTATCGACTTTCCTTCCCCCAAGATAAATATGAGATCTTATTCATTATCTCCGTAAAGAAAACAACAAAACTGTTTCCGTATGTCGCCTCAGATAGTCCAGAAATTGGTACTCTCGAAGTATGTGAACCAAGATTGCGGACACCGGAACTTATTATGTGTACCAGGTTAGGGTTAGGCCATAATTTCAGGTATAAATACTACGGGAGTCACTTGGCTAGTCCCCGAACTCGTAATAGAACTAAAATAAGGAAAATTGGAATAAAATTATGGCCTAACCCTAACCTGGTACACATTCTTCGTTCCGGTGTCCGCCTTCTTGGTTCACATAATTCGGGAATACACAGAAATTATCTCAGATTGGCCCAGAAAATTAGCCCAGAACGGCACCCAGGTGTAATAAGTACGAGAAGACATAACATACCGATATTGCCGTACTTTAGATACGTGAAACTTATTTGGGAAAATCGAAATCAAAAAGTGAACACAAAGTATGACATCGTGTAAATATTCGTCCAACTTACCAAATATTTCGTAAAAGTATGAGTTTCATTCTTGTTTTCACCAATTACTGTAAAAAAAGACAAAGAAAACAAGTTAAAATTCCGAAACAGAAAATAAAAAACAACTTCACAATAATAAATAAATTTTAAGGAGGCTTTCGGACCCCTAAGACACAAAGACCGTTCACAATTTTAATGAACCATCATTAGCGAGTCTAATGCTGACATGAGCAAACTAGGGCCTGCGGGCCAAATGGGTAATTCGATCTGGCCGTCTGATGCTGCCACAACCACACTAAAACCAAATTTTGATGTTTTAGCTCAAAAAAATAGCTAAAGGAATTTGTTACGTTTGCGATTAAATTTAGTTTTGACACGAGGCTTATTGTTTTTCACTTTTGCTTTCGTAACACTGATAATGTTGTTCATAAAAATGTAAATACAAATACATGTTGTTCATACAAATGTGAATTTTTACGTCACAATTACATGCCCGCCAGTCCAGGTGGGCAAAATGTTTGGCCCCTGGTCATAATAAATATTCAATGTTCTATCAAACGACGTATTCAAATCAAAGCTCTCACTCGGGGTTCGAACCCACGGCCTACAACTTACAAAATAGAAGCAAGTCCTGTATTATCTTCTTCCTTTTCATTTGCCTCCAGTTCTTTCAGTTCCACAAATCTCTTCTTTCTAGTAGAACCGTTTGTAGAATTGGTCTTGCATCGGTCAAGAAATGAGAATAAATCGCAAATGTCGAAATCTCCTCCGCTGTGATAAAACAAAGTTATTTTTATAAAAGTTGTACTGTGACACATCATTATTGTTAAACAAAAATATGGCGTTCAGAGAAACATTATGACCTCAACACAAAATCATGCAACCATTGATTTCCCTACATACCCCCATCTAAAATTCTCACCCCCAACCGCTCATATATATGCCGGGGAAGATGATCACTCAAATACATAAAATATTTTTATGAGTCACAAATAGTTTAATTACACTTAACAAAATATCTACAATCCCCTAAATTTGAAAACACTCCCCCCCCCCCCCCCCCCCCTACATAAAATAAAATAAATACTGGGGAACATACTGCATGTAATATGATTGGTATTCTCTGATTATAGTCAAATTTAATCGACCCAACCCTCCGTCAAATACTCGTGACATCTAGTAAATAATGCAATCCGACGTATATAGTCCAATACCACTTGACTATAATCAGAGATTACAACACAAAAGCGCGGCGGTGTGTCTCATCGTGCTAAGCGTTAGGAAAACGCTCGCCATCGCACCTCTAATTACTCTGCGTGGGTTCGCAGGTTCAAGTCCCATGCGGTGATGATTATGTGCGGGAGGATTGCTGAACTTCTCCCCGCCGTAGGGTGGTTCATGTAACCGCTGGTCGGTTACGGCTTTCTCCACCATCAAGTCCATGCTTCCGAAAACAAATACCTAACTAATCCCATACCCGACATGTAATGATAACCGGACGAGAGGCCGTGGTTCGTCATATAGTTAAGCTGTCTCGTTAGTCCTTCAGCACTTTGGACCGAATATGTAATGGCCAATCAAGCTAAGATACTTCTGATTCCGAGCTTTGTTCGGAGATAGAGTGAGATGAGTATTATTGAGAATCTTCACGGTACTTACATGAGTCTCTGGAGCAGCAAGAGAGTGGCGATGTCAACTGTAAAAAAATAGGGAAAATTAAAAAAAAAGCGCGATGTTCAAATATATGTGCACGAAAGCCAAAACGAAGTAGTACGGGCAAGCAATCTTTCACAGTAGACTACCGATGTCACAGTCTTCACGTCTTCGCATAGCAGCGAACACGTAATCACCACAAGATGAACAAGATTTTTATTTCTGATGACGTTATCGCACGCAAATAAAAAGAAGTCCCGTAAAGCCCTCAGAAAATTTTAAAATATATAAAATTATAAGCTTTCTAGTGAAAAATATAATCTTTAAACACTGAAAATTTCAAAGCAATCGTTCCAGTAGTTAAAGAGAACATAGCAATATTGATAAAATACAAACAAAACAACAAAATAATAACCAAACGATCCATTGGAAGATTTAGTGTTCAGAAATAAGGAAAATTAGAAAAAAGGAATTTAGTAAGCATAAGTAACGCGTAAGAAGCATAAAATATTTTTAATTCTCAATGTATGGGAATGAAGTATCGGTTGAGGTTTCGCAAAACTGACTACGTTACTTGAACTTTCTGTATGCTTTTGCGCTTCTACTTCAAGTAGAAGAAGTTAGACCATGAACTAACGAAAGCTCACAAATATGCTTACTATTTCGTTGAAAGATATCATGTTATTTTCACTTAGCAGCCATATTCACCAAATTATTTCAAAGTTGGCGATGTCTTAAGAGTCAAAAAAAATTTTTATTTCTCATTTTCACAAAACTGTTTCCTTTCTTATTTTTAGGTAATAGCCCTCGATATCGAATCGTAGTAAATCCGTATACGTACTTTGATTGCTTGGTTGTGGTCGTGGCACCACTACTGGTTGCCGAATGATAGGTCTTTGCACTACAATAGGTCTATGTACAACCGGAGGTCTTTGAGAAGCAATGAACTTCGGATCTGTGGAAAGAAAATAGAATAAACCAGAAGTTTTACCTTGTAAGTAGCAGGCAAGAGAGCTGCATAGGGTAGCCGCCTTGGGCAGTAAATTGTAGGCGCAGCAGATTCCAGATGTGAAGTTCGTGTTACTACACATGCTTTTTTTCGAAGTGTTTAATATTTCAAGTAAAAACTTACAATACGTGTATCGCGGGGGGGGGAAGGTTTTTGAACCACGGGCCAAAATTTGGCCCACCTAGACTGGCGGGCCATGTAAGTATGAAGTAAAAAGTTACATTCTATACCAACATTTAAAGTGTTACAAACGCAAAACTGGGAAACAATAAGCCTTGTGCTAGAACTAAATTTAATCGCAATATCAACAAATTCCTTGAGCTATTTTTCCAGCTAAAACTTCAATTTTGGTTTTGCTTTGCCCAACGTGCCGGATTTAGCCCGCGGGCCGTAGTTTGCCCATATCAGATGGGCCATTGGCCCCCAGTTGGGAATCTGTGATTTATGTAATGCGTTTCATATTAGTAGAGTGTATGGTAGTAAATATGATATATTGTTGAAGGACTATAGGCTCGGCATGGCTTTCTGAAACGAGGTAACTTGTTGTTAGTGAGTTTCATACAAAAAAGGGTACTCTCGTAGTATGTGTACCACGTTAGGGTTAAGCCATAATTTTAATCCGATTTTCCTTATTCTAGCTCTATTACGAGTTCGGGGACTGTCTGTGTTAGCGAGGTAAATATACCTCCTGCCCATAGGTTTAAGTCCCTTTTCACAACTTGATGTATGTAGGCGAACAAAATTAGTAACCTCCATATTGGTACACTGAAGCGCCAAATAAGAGCCTATTTTTTGTACTTTGAAGCCCTCCACTGGCTAACATGCAATACTAGACGTTCCAAACTCGCGACACATTCACTTAATTCCTGTGACACTCGACTTGCGAAGAATTTGAGAAAGTATTTATTTGGCTTCGTCACCTTTAATTTACAACAGGGAAAAGTTTTGTTTCGTCATAAAGTGTTCAAATTTGTTTGAATTTCAAAGAAAATTGGTCGATAGCTTGTTTACCATACAGGTGAATTAAATAATACTCAAATAAACACTGATTTAAATAAAACAAACCTCAAGACAAGAGCTGACCTAACCAAATTGAAATTGTAACAGGTCTTATGGCCACTCGGAAGAAACTCTAAAAAACATTTCACGAGGTATTTACCGCATCTAATAGTAGGCACCCATCGTGTTCCAGCCCTGATCTGAGTGCAAATATGAACGCCATTATATGCTGGCCCATATTTACAATTTCTGATAGTCAATCGCTTTCCAACACGAGCAGCAGTGGTTCGGACGTAATCGTAGTAAATGGGCGGAATATCGCAAGTCAAGAACGGTTGAGGTTGAGGCCGGGGCTTCTGTGGTTGAATTGGTGCTGTTAAAAAAAAAATAGAGTTGTTTTTCGTTAGTTGGTGATTTGACAACTGAGTTAAATAGGCACCAATGCTCAAATATATGCTCATAACAGAATTGTCAAGCAGTTATTTGCTCCATATGCACGAACTTGATTGCGAAGGAAACCTTGGATTAGATTGAAGACAAAACGTACTAAAATTGACTAGACGACGCCAGTAGTGTGGGGATCTGTCGAGCATGGCGGAATAATTATATCCTAACTCTTGACTTGAGACTCGGTGACCCGTGACTTTACACTAGGTGACTCTTGACTCGACCAGAATCTCGATGACCCGTGACTTGAAATTTGGTGACCCGTGACTAGAGACTCGTATTACCCGTAATTTAAGACTCGGATTACTTGTGACTCAGATTTTACGTGACTCGACTTGATACTCAATGAGCCGTGACTTGAGACTAGGAGACGCATGACTCCAATTGGCTCGCTACACGGGATTCAAAGGGTTCTATCTAACACCGCTACTAAATGTAAAATAAAAGATAATTATCATATTAATACTCTTACCGCAGTTTATGGGCGGGTACCAGCCAACACTCCCGCCACTGATTTTGCATTCATGTTGACTCGGCTGTGTTATTGTGTAGTGCGGGCAAAAAGTTATCGTAAGAACTTGTGTTGGGATAGCGAATTTTGCTCCAGCCTTTACACGAAATAACGGTGGAATGTCGCATCGTTGAGCACAAGAGAGTGAGACGCCGATAGCTAAAATGATGACTATTTTCATTGTTGCCATATCCCAGATTTTTAGTCCGCAATTTGATTAGAAAATACGGATATCAGAGGTAACTACGGCTAATCTTGACAATAAATAAAAAATTAAAATTCGATAAAGTAGTTTAAAAAAATGTATTAAATAAATAAACTATTTTTAGCGTTGCCATATCCCAGATTTTTAGTCCGCAATTTGATTAAAAAATACGGATATCAGAGTTAACTACGGCTAATCTTAATAATAAAAAAAAGTAACAATTCGTTGGAATAGTTTCAGAAAAATAAACATAAAAAATAGGATTCCAATGACCTCAATCATCTTCTAATACTGAAAATCAGAACCCACTGACGCCAGACGATTTTGTTTATAATCTGACGTCACCAGTGCCAATTATGTATTGCCGCTCCCGAAGTATGTGCACCAGGATGGCGCACAACCTCAACCTGGTACACATAATAGGGGTCAGGCTGTGAGCCATCTTGGTGCACATACTTCTGGAGGTCCGACGTATTAACGAAGTGAGGTATATTTATCTTTGAAAGAAATAAAACACTAGACATACAGGGTGTTCATAAATTCCTTTGACAATTTCATTTTTGTTATGAAGTCAGTTCTCAAAATATCTCAACCAGGTTTGTTGTTTTCAATCAGTAATTGTTCAAGTATTTTTTCTTCATTTAATACATCTGTGAGGGCCAAAACAATATATGGTATCGATGAATGAAAGAAAACTTAATGAAACACTGGACATATATTGTTGTCCATTGATCCTATAGATTTGGTTTTGAATCACAATTTGGCATTTTTGGACACGAGGTGGCCCAGTGAATCGTCTTGCTATATTGATGTTGTCAGGCCGCTCCAGAAATGTGTGTACCAATATGGAAGTAACTGATTTTGTTTGCCTACTTTGCATTAAGTTTTGTAAAGGGACTGAAACCTATAGGCAAGGAGTATGTAAATTCACTTGGCTAACACAGACTGTCCCGAACTCGTAATAGAATAAATATAAGAAAAATCGGAATAAAATTATGGCCTAACCCGGTACACACACTATGAAAGTATCGTTGTTATTGGATAGAATAGGATTTTCAAATTTACCCTGGGGAAATGAAAAGACGATGAGATGATCTGATCATATGGCAAACCATGGCTTCTCGTCTGGCGATTTTCAACAATAGCGAGAATAAAAAAAAAACAAGAATCCAGCAAAACAATCCACTGGTACAATTTGTGCCAAGTAAAATAGCAATAATCAGATAAATCGGAGTGCAACCTACGTCCCGCGGACCAAATGCCTACACAGGGAAAAATTGTGCGGCCCGCGAAACGAGTTAAATCTAGCACGTGCGAGTGATTCCAAAACCTTTGCGTGGGAAAGTCTATTACCTGAGACCTATAACTGAGATTATGCATTATCCAGGGGTGTGCGCAGTGGCGTATCTAAGTAAAATGGCGCCCATGGCAAAGTCTAAAAATGAGCCCGCTTGATAGTTGTTTGACAATTTATAATGACTATTATTGAATTGAGATACCTGTACGTTATTATTTACGTAAAAATAGGAGTTTCATTTATTCCCAATTGAAATTATTTTATTGAAACTTTCTTATGATTTATACTTTTCGCCCGTTTTGGGCATCCGTTCGAACGGCGCCCATGGCACGAGCCATGGTTGCCACACCCTAGATACGCCACTGGGTGTGCGATAGGCGGCCCGCGGGCCGTCAAGTCATCTAGTGTGGCCCTTGTCACTCAGATGTTTTCCCATCAAGCATAAAATTCAAATCCGACGGTTTATGTTTGAAAAGACACTCACATGGGTAAAAATGCGTAATGTTTTTTGCTCTTGTCGTTGCGTTGAATCTTTTGCCGTTTTGCCTGTGCTATAAGACAAGATATAACCGCATTCTTTAGTTAACAAATTATGCAAAAAATCAAAACTTCAAATGTCCCAATGAAATATTAAATACATAAAATTTTTTACAGTGAGAATTTTTTAATTCGTTGTGTTCATGGAAAAACTAAATTTTTTGTGTGGCCCAGCTAGATGTCTGAAGTTATATGGCCCACCGACAAAAATGGCGCACAACTTGATAACCCTAACCTGGTATACATACTATATTCAGGTTGTGCGCTATTTTGGTGCACATACTTCGGGAGCACTCAAAAATGTTGCACACCCTAGCTATAGTGCCTTTTTTCGGAGTCGAAAATTCTCATAAAATATTTGACATCAGCTTAGTATTTTCATCATTAATGACTTCCTAATTTTACCGCATCTTTTACCTCAACAACTCATTTCTGACAAAATCCAAACTGGCACCTTACAGATCCATTGTCATTAGCGAAATAGGATATGACCAGGGGCTAGCCTATGGGAGGGCCGTAGAAGCAGCCGCCGGAACTAGCACGTTTAGTGCCAGCAAATGTGAGTTTTCCGGTCTTTCCAAGTTACAGTAGCGACCCGCCAGGCGACTTGTACATCCCCTGCCAGAACGTCCTATACGTCGTATGGAAGATTAATTACAATTGCGATAAGAGAAGAGTATATAATATATGTACACTAATCCATATGATAGATGAGATTCTTTGTGAATACATAAACGCTTTCAAGCCACTTTCCGCATTATCTCGTACGATAAGACCGACCGTCAAACCGTACTGTTAAATGCAGTTTGTAATTTAGAGACACATATCCTATATAGAGTAATATAATGATTAAAATGGCAAAACGCATAGCATAAGGTGCACTAACAATATTCAAATATAACGCACACAGACATTTTTTCTGGCATTCGCAGATCGATCGAACACGAGTATATCCGCCGGTGACCGTTGGATTAAAAGCGGCAAGCGAACCACGAATAATCGATGTCTCGTACATTAGCGCACTTTTGAGAGAAACACAATTTGTAAGAGAAGATGACTCGAACCATAGCACTTGGGGGTGAATAAGAATGGATAATGTGTTCTAGGTCAATCACAAATACACAACGTTAATTAAACAGTACATTTGAAAATTTGTGGCAACATTTATAAATCACGCAAATGCTTCTCACTAAAGATACCAATGGTTCAAAAATCGTAAGACAACATTAGCAATTCCATTTCCACCACCTCACCGAGTGTGTAGTAAATTGGGTCGGTAATGTCGAAACCTAAAATCTTATTCCCTGAAAAGAAATGGCTCATTGTGTGTTAGCAACTGCTTATAAATAGTCTTGTTCTGAACAAGCATGTAAAAAGCGCTTAACAATATAAATACAACCAAATTTTACTATATTTAACTGTATTTTTAATTCAGGGTTAAGACGCGCTGTATTATTATGAACAAAATCCGGACTATTGCGTCATAATATAAACTAAATTCAAGACGTATCGATACATCTATTTAGAAAGCCATAAAGCAGCGGTTCTCAACATGCATTATTTCTTCTGCCTATTTTATAACTCTTCATTCCCATTAATTAAGCATTTTGAAAGACGCACTAAGTTAGTTGCGTTAGTTGTTCATTAGTTGTTGCGTTTGTTAGTTCCGTTAGTTGTTCAACCTTTAATAAATCCAAGTGTTATGCACAACTGGTACTTTGGCTTTAGTACAGTTAAAATGGTACTTATGAAGTATGTGAGCCAAGATGGTGGACACCGGAACGTCGTATGTGTACCAGGTTAGGGTTAGGCCATAATTTCATTCCCATTTTTTTTTAATTCAGTTCTATTGCGAGTTCGGGGACGTCCAAGTTCCTCCCGTAGTATTTGTAACTGAAATTATGGCCTAACCCTAACCTGGTACACATACTACGTTCCGGTGTACGCCATCTTGGTTCACACACTACGGGAGTACCGTTTAAATCATTATATTTGTTATATTTGATCTTTCCCGCCTTAATTTGGATATACACATTTCTTTGTTGTTTATAGAGATTGCGATTCCACCACGTATTTTCAACGTGTTTTTTAAATAAATCATACTTTCGCCTTACCATCTGTTTTTTGTAGCTTATTATTAGCTAATTATTTTTGAAATGGGCGCGAGACTTGACAAATTTTAAATAGTTCATAATTTGTGCATAAGTATGTATTACATTACCACTAAAAATATTAGCAATACTATACTGAACGCAAAAACACAGTAAATTTACTCCTCAAAGACAATGAGAAATTCGAATTACTTTGCGGTTGAAAAACGCTGCTATGAAGGCAAACATTCAATGTCATACAACTAACTAACTGACGAACCCTTTCTTTCGTGGATTTTAAACGGCAGTGAGTATCTGTAACCTGCGATACCAATACAATTAGGTTTAACGCAGGGGCGGCCAAATACGGTCCGCCAGCCGGATGCGGCCAACCGAAGTGTTGCATCGGCTCACATGTGTCTTCTGAAATTGCGACTATTCTTTTAAAGGATATAAATTTCGGTTGAAAATATCGATGAAAATAACTTCTGAATGACCCTGATTGTCACGCTGTGCCTAATATTCTATAAACGTTAGGGGCTCCCGAAGTATGCGAACCAAGATGGCGGACATCGGAATGTAATATGTGTACTAGGTTAGGGTTAGGCCATAATGTTAGGTATAAATACTACGGGAGGCTCTTGGCTAGTCTTCGAACTGATAATACGACTAAAATAAAGAAAATTGGAAAAAAATTATCGCCTAACCCTAACCTGTTACCCATGTTACGTTCCAATGTCCGCCATCTTGGTTCGCATACTTCGGGAGCACCGCCCAGTGACTACTATCTGTAACTAACCCGCTCAGAAAAGCAGTTGCCACCCTGGTTCAACGTTTTACTCAAATTTCCAAAATTCCACTAATAGAATTTGTGGAACTCCAGAAGTATGCGTACCAAGATGGCGCACAACCTGAACATAGTATGTGTGTGCCGGTTAAGATTCAGGCTGTGCGACATCTTGGTGCGCATACTTCTGGAGCCCCGAATTTGCTCTAAACAACGCCATGCGCAGTCGGAATTGAAAGAGAGTCATCTCTGACGAAAGTTACTGTCGGCCAGT